AAAATTCAAGGGCTTCTACAATTTTGGAGCCCCTCATGAGCATCTATGATTATGAAGCAGTTGTAAATTTAGAACTTACCTGGGAAAGTGAATTCCAAAATGCTCAGAAAGGATAATTATTGTAACTAGAGAAAATCAAGTCTATCATCTGAAATACTATCAGCTGTAGCAAGATCATTTAGAAAATACTACTTCGAACCTCTTCTCCTTTTTTTTGGCTATTGTTATTGCATGATACACACACAGCTTTATTTTCCATGGCTTCCATACCTCTATAGACACCAGATTCAACACTACCCTGTTGAAGATAACTGTACAAAGACCATGACACATTGTCAAGACACAACACATACTGAACAGGTCAAAAGCAGAAGGGAGGGAATATAGCTTTTAATTGTAGATTTATCACTTTGCTTTTCTTCAACCCCTATAAGTGGGATACAAATAAGTCATAGCTGGTAAAAAAACAATGTGCATGTAAAGCATTGGAAGAAAGTTTCCTTACCATGTCAATAAGTAATTGCAATAGCTCTGTATTTGTGGTGTATTGTAACACATGATATGGGCCTTCAACTCTTATAGTAATATTATCATTACTCAAGTATTATAAGAAGTAATTTCTCTCCATCCCACATTTTTAAATGCAAATGTTCTATGCCTGATTGTATGAACCAATTTTACTTTATATATAAACTCTCACCTTATGGTAACCCTTATCTCCCATCCATCCTTGAGCATGCATAATCAGTTATGCCATAGTCTTTAACATTCCTATCTAAACTAAAATGCTGATGCTTTCAGGTCTGCACAAGAACAATTCAGTTACACAAGTATGTTTATGGTGTATAGGCAGAAATAATTCAGCTTTGTCCTTACAATAAAAAGATCCCAGTCCTGTTATTTTTTTATAGCATTTAAGCGACACATGACACGCAAGAAGGTGATATTTCTGTAGATGCTCTTCAGAACTGAATCTGACTTTATGAAATTATACCCACATTAGGATTTTAGATGCTGAAGTAAAAATATGCATAAATCTGTAAAAACATAGTAGTATTTTATGACTGTTTGTTATCTCACTTGAACTCCTTGTACTGGCTCGTTCTCCACTACATTGTACTATACAACTACAGAAGGACAATACCATTTCAGACATTGTGAAGAACCTGAACTTGACTCTGTGATGGAAAGAATGCAAGGGATCACTTGAATCCCTCTCTTATACTGATGTCTCACCTTGTTACAAAATTACTTCCCCAGCACTACTTTCTAGGATTGAGACTGCAATGAACACTGTACACCTTAGCTCTGCTCCAAGACATTACTGGGAAAAAGGAGAAGGACTACAGCAAGTCTTACTTCCAGTCCACCTCCTCCTCCTCTCACTGCTGGAGGAAAAATGGCAGAAATAGCATCAGATGAAACATTCTGGGCTAGGGCTGAGTAACCGGAACACAAAAACGAGAGTGGGCCAAGAACAAGGTACAAGACTGGCAGTGTAGATCCAGTGGCAACATCAGCAATTAATACCACTTCAATATTACTTTTGGCCCTGTATACACTCAAAGTGCTGATATGTAGCAAGGCTGTGCAGTGCTATAGCACAATCTTTACGTAAACTTTAATTACACTTCAGACATTACTATAAAATGTGATAGTAATTAATACCAGATAACAAAATTCACTACTTCCTGTTTAGTTGCACTGTTCCTAGCTCCTTATTAATGAACTGAAACCTCAAATTTATTGTATTGCTTTAATTAACGTAATGGCATTTGGACTAAAACTGTTAAGAACTATATAATCAAGGTAGTAACAGAAAGACAATCTTTAAAAATGTCTATATATAGTGTGACTTTCTTTTGTTTACTGTTTCTCTTGCAGTATCGTTCAAAAACCCCCAACAGTTACTGTTAGATTTATTGCTATTACAATCCTGTGATATGATTGAGGTTTTGCTTCCATAGTATGCTACTATCTGGGCTGGTCCTTACACTATAGTGTACCACAATCTCACTTCTGCCAACAACTATTTCCGGGGCCAGTAAATTGCACGTGCAGGATCACTTAGGTTAAAATTAGATTTCCTTCAGTCCTCTTCCAGGGTTGACTGCTATTTTTTCCTCATGTACTAAACTAATTCACAGCGAAGAACTACAATGTGCTGTGCTATCACAAAGATGACATCAATATACTACTGCATGAGATTGAGAGACTGGCAATTCCTAAAACTCCTTCACTGCTTAAACCCCAATACTGTGGATGTCTAGCCTGAGTTATTAATAGTATCAAAAAGTAAGTATCTGGAGAAGCTGAAAGCACTTCAGTACTGTGAGCTCTGTCAGAGGGCAACACTAACTTTATAACCAATTACACCACAATAGATGTTTCTCTCCTTGAAATGTACACAGGTCTGAGTTTCCAATCATAGAAGCCAAAAGTACGGTCCACTTTTTTCCATAGTTAAAAGAAATGCACATAGCCTCAAAGCTGCTCCAATTCAAATGCAAGGGGGAAAAAGAAGGGAGAAACGACCACCTGATTCTCAAAGTTTTAGTAATTATTTCCAAGTATGGAGAAAATAAGGACTGTTAGTCTTTCAGGCTTTCTGCATTACTGCTTGCAAACCTAATCTACTTTTGCTCAGTTTTGTCCAACTTTTAACTGAAATTTCATAAACTTTCAGAGGAAGACATGCTTAAATATATTTTCTTAAATTTTATTATAATTTTAATCTGAGTTTGTCAGCTATGAAAAAAAACTTCAGTTTCTTGAAGTGATTTTAAAAATTTTGTTCATATTTTGTTTCTATTTATTGCTTTTAGGCCAATATATTTTGCAGGAAATAATGCTTTTTGTATTTTATTGCTCCTTCTAAGAATGTTATTAAAAAACTTATCACTTCCCCTGAAACCAGGATAATGTCAGCCTTTCCTCAAATAATGAATAAACTGCAAGTTATTGTCCCACTGCAGTGTGCCTTTATATCTCAGCACATCTCCTATCCAGTACATTTGCACTGATGTCAGCTATAACACATGGGTTAAATTTCTAAACTTGGGACTACTTCTTTTTTTCTTTTCAGTAGAGCTGGACAATAGAACTGTATCTGTTATAAATGAGATCATTCTGTGGTCCCATATGCATTCCCAATCAAGTGATCTGAAAGCCTGTATGGTGCATTTATTTTTTTTTTATTATTCATGCCGACAAAACATTTTTGTTGTCCTTGTTAAAAACAAAAACACATGATGTTTCTGGACCTGAATCAATGAAAATATTCCTGCATGCAACCACCTGCTCCCATCTTATCAGCTCTTCCTCCACTCCTGGTAGCGAACATCTGAGTAGTCAGAAGAATGGTCTATGCTCCCTTTTCCCCAGTAAGTATACACCTGGGGGTAAGAAGGTTAGGAAGAAGGGACTGTGTTTGGCTGTTGAAGGAGAAGTGTTCACAGGCAGGCTGGAGCATTATACTCACCTGGGGGATGAAGGGCTGGGTTGTTCCTGTCTTGGAGAAGATACCTACCTTACCTGGCTGTAGGTGGTGAAGATGCTTGTGGCAAGAAAGATCCTGGGGCAGTCAGTGCCCCTTCTCTAGGGGCAGGACTGTGCCCGCTCCTGCTTCTTGCTTAGTGTGAAGGGATACTTACCCATCGGGGATAGTATTCTTCTTTACCATGCTGAAAGCAGGAGCAGGCAGAGCAGGAGACAGCGATGAAAGTGGGCACTGCAGTAAAGGAGAGAGAACCGCGCAATTAACACGGTGCTCATGTCTTTCTCCATCAGTGGGCCTTTTCACAGGGCTGACTCTCCAATAAAACAAACCAAGTAGTCAGCCGGGCCTTGAAGCCATCCTGAGCAAGTTCTGCAGCTTGCAATCTAGCCTATTTTCTCCACTCTCCACTCAGTACGAGGGAAGGATAACTCACCTCTCCTCTCCAGGAGATCAAAAGAAACAGAGAGGAGAGGCACCAAGTTTGTCTCTAACAGCAGTGCTGCATGGATGAAGATCTTCCTGGCAGTCCCTTGCGACCCTCTCCTGTGGCTTGGAGCAGCCTGTTCTGCCCTTGCGCTCCCACAGCTAAAACTCTTGTTTCAATGAGAAGAAACTTCAGGCAGCTGCAAGAGGCGAGGCCAGTACCTCAGCAAGGCAAGGACCATCACCTGCCCCACTCTAACCTAGACGGGTCCGAACCTGCTAGATTCCGGGCACCGCCAGCGCCCGCCGATCTCAATGGGACCAGGGCAAGGGGGAGTGGGAAGCGGGGAGCTCCCCCGCTCGGCGGAGGGCCCATGTCAGCCGCTCCAAAGACGCTTGAGGCTGGCGAGGCTCCCCCATCAAAGCCGCATTTCCCCGCGAACGCAGGGAGCCCCGGGCGGGACCGCCTCCGAGGCCGGCTCGGAGCGCTGTTTTAGCAGTAGGCGGCTGAGCCCGGGGGAGGAAAAAGAGAGCGGGGCGGGGGGAGGTCGCGGCCCGACTGCGAGGAACCGAGCGGTCGGCTGTCGGAGGGGTGGGAAGGGGGCTGTGCGGAAGAGGGCGCGGGCTGCATCAGGAGTCGGTAACAGGGAAGGGCCCAGGCACCAGCGAGGCGGGGCGGGGAGGACCGGGGCTGCGGGCGGCCCGTACCCTGACAGGATTTCCCTTGCAGAGGATGGTAGTTGCGAGACAGAACGTTCCCGAATCGGTCTCGACTGCGCCTGCGCGGCAGCCGGCCAGCTTGCTGGGAGGGGCGGAATGCGCCTGCTCCTCTGGAGCCGTGCGCGGGTGCTCCGCGTGCGCATGCACGGCGGCGGGTGGCCGGTGAACCGGGGAGCCGCCCCTGAGCGTATACCGAGCTGCCGGCCAATAGGAGGGGGGGTGCTTCTGCGCGTGCGCGGCAAGCCCGTGGGTGAAGGGGTAAGCCGCGGGACGCATGCGCGGCCCCTGGGGCGCAGTGAGGGGTTGGGGCGCAGGCGTAGTGATGGGAGGGGTGCGGGTGTCCTGGGGTGGCCCTTTGGGTAGGGGAGGGGGTGTTGCGGCGGTTGGTGAGTGGTCTGTTAGCTCTTCCCGGGTGCTGTGGTGGGTGGATGAAAAGAGGCGGGTATGGGTTTTTTTTATTTTCTTCGGTGGTTTGTGTCGGGTGTCAGCTCTGGAATTCGGGCTCGGCGAGCCGCTGCCCGAGTTTGCGCGGGGCTGTGGGGGCTTGAAGGAGTCCGTGAGGGGGAAACGCAGGGAGCGGCCAGGTCGGGAAGGGCGTCTTGGCCTCGTCTTACATCGGCAGATGCACTACGGCCCTGTCTGCCCCTTTTTTCTCGGATGAGGTTCTAGCTCCTGCCAGGGCCACTTTCGACTCTCTCAGTGTGTTTTGGTTTGTTTTTTTGACTCGGTATGTCCACCGAGTAGAAGTTAATTGCCACATAATTGATTAGCCTGCTTATTAATTACAGAGCTGCAATTGAGTCTGAAGTTGTGCTGGTATTAAAGAAACAACAACTTCGTTTGTCAAGACAGTAAACTTTTAACTTTTCTAAGACTAGAGTTTTGCAGATTTCAGCAGTTATGTGTGATTATTTTGCCAGAAATTTTCACTTTCTGCCTTTTTTCCACATCTGTGTAAGAACTGTTTCATGACTGATTTCATTAAATTAGTGAAATTGGAGCAGGAGGTCTCTAGTTAATACTTCAGAGCTGAGAGTTTAGTTACAAAGAAGGTAGTAATCTTTTTGATATACATAAGACTGGAACTACCTTAATGTTCTTTAAAACAAAAAGCAACAGCTGCCAGCTTCCCCCAAAACTTAATTTGACGTGGAAAGATTGTGACATAGTTCCATGAAGAATTGATAATCTTAACTAAATCTATTTCATGCGTGCAGGAAAACAGTTCTTTGGTACCCGATTATACCTTCAGTGAGTCATTATTAGCATAACCAAGCAGCTATGCATACAGTAAGCTTACTGTGAGAGCAGTCATGTTCATTCTCTTTGCTGAAGTGCTGTCTGAACATGCCTGTGCAGTATATTTTGAGAGAATGGGGACAACGATTCTGTGGTATTTCATCACTTGGCTTTCTGCACTAGTATTTTGTGATCTTGTAGCAGTTGGCTCACAAGTACCCTAAAGCATTCAGCACAGAGTGGAGTGGGCCATAGGGTGCCTTCAAGTGCTTTTAGAGAAAACTGATGTAGGAAAATGGATTGAACTGCTTCTATGAAGACGTTTGTGTTGTAACTGCACTGCAAAAACCAAAAGTGTATTTAAGAGATTATTGAATTCGTATTTGCTAAGAGTAAAATAGTGGCTTTCAGAAAATGAAATTGACATTGTCTTTTAATTAGCCAGATAGTTGTTGAGTTCTGCAAAGCATTTGTTTCTTAGAATTATGATTTGCATGCTCACCACAACACAATTGTGGAAAAGTTTGTTGTGAAATCTAAATCGATAGGAGTACAAGAGGTTTTCTTCATAAGTTTTTTGTTTCTATTTTTGAATATAAAATTTATAGTCTGAGGATAGTAAAATGCAGGTTATATCTTGGGTTTTCTTCAGGTTTGTGAGTGTTCTGGAAGCTACTCATTTTAGTCAGCAAATATAACATACCCATCAATTTTTCATAGCAATATTTTTAGTTTATGTAAGGATAGTGCTATGCTGTCTTTTTTCACTTCCAGAAATAGACTAAAAAAAGTCCTGTGTCTTCAAGAAAGAAAACATAAGACCTGTAGTTCTAAAATATTTTGAGGGAAAGCCAAAGACCTCAATGTAACTTGGTTGTTTAGAAGAATCCTGTAGAATCGTAAGGTGCTCCTGTTAAGACAGGGCCATATATTCTTGACATTATCATAACGCTTAATCTTTCAAGAACAGTTGAATTTTACTTTCTTCCATCCAGTTATAAAGTATTTCTTCTTAAACCTAATACTTTAAATGATAACTTATATCAGTTGTTTAGCATCCTCTTTATTTTGCTAGAAAACATGCTTGTCAGTAAGGTCCTTCTAAGCAAGGTGTGATGTAGTGAATGAAATTGCTTCATTGCCTAATAAGTTACAAAGCCAACATCAGAGGATAAAGTTTTAGAACCTATTTTAAGATTTCAGTAAAATAATCTTCATAGCCCTAGAGTAAGAAGGCTGATATATTTGGTCTGGTATGTAATTTTTAACAAAGAAATTGCCTGCTTTCTAGTTTCCGTCTTTTCCAAATATTTTGTGTAGGATACTTCCAGAAGTTGCTATGTCAAATTAGAGAGAATACAGCAGGCAAACAGGTAGTTGGCAGTCATTTAGCCATATAGTGCAAACAAAGAAAAGCAGACAGTAATCATAATTCCTGAGCTCTGCAGTTTAAGTAGGCTGTCAAGGCACTGATTGATTTCAGGGACTTCTGAGCTGTTAAATTGCTGTAATACATAAGGTATCAACTCTATTGTAGTCTTCTAGTAGTGATGTGTATTCTGTAAACAAGAAGTGTGTAATCCATGTCAACAACACTAATTAGCGAGAAAGAATAAAGTTATCTTGGAAAAAAATGTTTGAAGACAGTTTTAAAATTGCTGTGTTAATGCTACCTTTTAATATAGTATAATCGAATGTCACTGTATTGAAAGGCAAAAATACTTCATCGTTTTATTTTCTCAGGTAATTAAGATACTGATTCCTGTATGTAGTTTTGGAATGCCTTAATATGTGTCAGTATGAATGACAGCAGTTACATAAACAGGGTAAATAACCAGTGATGCACTTTTCTAATGGTTATGCAGTTTTAACACATCTGGAGAAAGAAAAAAATTGCTCTATTGGTGGCCTTATAAGTTAAAATTGGCTTTAAGTATAATTTACTAAAGCAATGATATTGCTATTTTCTCGACAAAGTGTATTTATTATTGCTAGCAGAACTATCTTCTAAGGAATTGAAATTTTTAAAATTACATTTTGTAAGAAAATACTTTTGGACCCCTTTAACTTTTTCTTCAAAGAGAAGGTCACTGGATTCTTGTTTTGAACAAGCTTTGTTTATCTGTTGATACTAAATTTTCTATTTCTTTTGGAGTTATATTTGGATTACAATAATACTTTCTTGTTTGGAAATTTGTGAAATGGCATTATCTTAGACAATAACAAGAATATTTTTAGTCTAAACTTTGAACATCTTTGATTACTGTCTGAAGCTGGAGAAATGGTTGCTAAATTCTGTAGTGCTGAATTATTTTTAGCTTTGTTTCATAGATGGCTGCAGTGGGGGGTGGTGGGGATAAGCATGTTATTTTTCAGCATGAACCCCCCTATATCTCAAGTTGCTCAACTGAATTATTTTACATCTCTTTTAAAATTTATAATACAAGCAAGCATCCTGCTCTATTTGCATCTTCCTGGAGATGGAGAATCCATTTTCTCCTCTTAATTTATACCCATATTTCATCACTAACACACTTGTATTCTGTTTCTTGGCTCTTATTTCTCTTTCTCTACAAGAGTAGTCATTGTGGACGTGGTAAGTTCTTTAGTGTGCTTAAGAAGGTTGAAATAAGATTTCAATGCTACATGCTTTATTACAGTTCTCAAATCTCTCTGCAAGAAACTTTTTCAGCCTTCTAATAATTATTTTGCAGCTTTTTGCTGTATTGTTTCTTGTTTTCCTCTGTTGTGTTTTAAAATATGGACCCCTAAGTTGTGCTAGCATTGGCTAGGTCAGTATTATATAGATGTGCTGTCTCTCTGTACTCCTATGTTGTTTCTACATCCAAAGATTATACCTGCTCTTTTTGCTTTACATTTGCATGGAATTTTATCTTCAGTTTGATTTTTTTTTCCTGACTTGTAGTTTTTTTTTTTTACAGGGACTGCTTTTTCAGGATACCTTTTGTAGGTGTGATGTATACTTCTTGCATAGTGCAGCTTTGTTAGTAAAAAGTATCTTGTATTGAGTGTATGTGACATGAAGTTTATGCATTGCTTTTGTTCTGTCAGAATTTACTGTTCTTTCATCAGTTTTGTTCTGTCATCTCTACAGTTTTCTTTGAGATTTTATACTTTCTTTAATTGATTGAAAAAAAAAGTAAAAGGTTCTGGTCTGTGCAGTAAGCCTTTTCCTCTGTAGGTCACAAGTTCAAGTCAAGTTCTCATATCACTCAACTCTAGATGCAGTTTTCTGGTAGTAGCACTAAATATGCTTTGAAATGATGGTGCATTCCCAAAGCCTGTGCTTTTCTTTGCTGTCACTTGAGTGTGGTGTCAGATGTGATAGCAGCATGGATTAAATAAAGTATCTCCTTCACAGCCAGAGCTAATGCCAAATTATTTTCAAACAATGTTTCAAAATAGACCATCTCCTTGGTCAAGGATGTGCGAGTAATATAGATTTAAAAAAGAGCTAATTATCGTTCTTGTTTAAGCCAATTTATTTTTTGTTTAGTGTCCTTGAAATTTCATTGGGTGGTGCTGTTTGATTTGTTTAATTATTCCCATGTTTTCCTGCACACTACTCTGAGTTGATTTCAGTGGATGACAGCCAAAAGGGTTGTCAGTACTAGAAGCATGTTCTGAAAATTTAAACCATGATTTACAGTGAAAAAGCTGTTGTAATGCTGGTCCTCATAATTTGTTCAGTCATATGTTTTGACATCTACTTGATACCATATCATTTAACATGGATCATGGAACACATACATTAAAATATTTTAAGCAAATATTTTGAGTTTGTTCTTCTTTGCTCTGTTGTATCTTATTTCCTCAAAGACTTTCTTCACTCTTGTCCTAGAGTAAGCGCTTTTGTACAGCAGTTTTGAGATGCCTTATTATAAAACCTAGAAATAGGCTTTCCATATACTGTTTCTGATGCTTTTCATATTGCTTTATTTCTCTTGGCTTTCAGTAGAAACTGATAATTCATACCTGTTTCTTTTTGCGTATTACTTTTAGCATAACTTCACTTTTTTCACCTCCTGTGTAGTTACTAAACATCAGATGGGCACTTGCATTTTTAATTGAATCGTTCTTTGAAGTGTAGTCTTTATTCTTTTTAATCAAAGACGCTTTGGGATGT